CGACATTTCACAAAAGAAAACATGTAAAGTGTAGCAAAATTGGTGGTTCTTAAAATCAAGCAGAGAAGCCTTGTTTTTTCTGTACCTATTTCATAATTATTTGACTGGCTCATTTTTATATGGTCCAATAGGGGATGAAATTGGGTCCTTTTTTTCTATTCTCATGTGGCATCTTTCCTATGACTTCTTGGGCTGTGGGTTTTGATCTCTTTTGTGACAAACCCAGCCGACACACTCTGGTTCTGGTTCTGGTCTTCATCCAACATGCAGAATCTCCCCAGACCATGCTTTGTAAACCCTGCCCACATCGTCACAACTCTATCAATTTAGACAATAGAGCCTTCTTTGTATGATTCTGCCTAAGGACATTATTTCAACACACATTCATTTCATTTTTTCTCTGTCCTTGCAGTTGCACTGATTGATCCAAAGAGCAGGGACTTCATCCACTTTGTTCATTTTGGGTTTTTCACAAAGGTATGTGAATAGATGTGAACTCATACAAGAACCAAACTAAGAATATGAAGAATAAAGATAAAATGAGACCAGGTTAAAGTGTAAGCAAAATTGAATTGTCAAAGACTTAGACCAAAAGAATTCATTCATTTAAAAAAAGATTTCATTCACTTATTTTCAGAGAGAGAAGGGAGGGAGAAATAGAGGGAGAGAAACATCAGTTGGTTGCCTCTCGATTGCCCCCAAATGGGGGCCTGGTCCTCAACTCAGGCATGTGCCCTGACAGGGAACCAAACCGGTGACATTTTGGTTCCCAGGACAGTGCTCAATCCATTCAGCCACACCAGCCAGGACAAGACATAAAAGAATCTAATATATACTGTTCCTTGAATGTTCTGGCACATAGCAGGTGCAGTTATTATTCATTTAATAATTCCAGAACTAGGTGTCAGTATACATGGACATTTACCATATGACAAGGTAGTAATTGAATTTAATATGTGTTATTCCACTTTAGATTTATTAAATAACTTTTTCATGTGAATACTCAGTATGAGAGAAGATACTGCAAGGTCTGTCTCACTGACTGCTGCTGCAAGGTGCTGTCTGCCTCACTGGTTGGATCTTTTCAATGAATAGAAAGCAGGCTGAAATACACCCTATCTTAGAAATTTAGTACAAATGCTTTCACTTCACTGAACCACTCTCCACACCTAAGTCTCCATTTCATCTCTGAAAACAGCAAAACTTATTGAGAAGTGTTTTCACTTTCCTGCAGCCATTTCCTGCATCTCACTCATTGTGCAGCATCTTCCCACTGGACTCCCAGGCCCATCACCTAATTGTCAGCTATGTCCATGGAGTGCAGATTCAAACAGATGCATCCTTATTAACATGTTAAGTAAATTAACTATAAATTAGTTCCTTAACCAAGAATACAAACAGAGATATCTGGTCTTGGGGCTGGGCTGATTAGGGTCGCAGTGATGCAGGTAAAAGTTCTCAGGTTCCAGATACTCTCACCCTTTCCTGATGTACGTACCAGGCTCTCAGACTCCCCTGGATGGGTTTTCTGAAAGGAAGATCTCTGTGTGCCAGTCAGATTGCTCCCTGGATGGTGGGTAATGGAAACTGAAGCTCTGTCTCACACAAGACAGCAGGAAGGACTGAAGCATCAGTTCCTGAGCCAGATTTGGGAATTAATAACAAGAAACATTCTGCTTAGCAACGCAGGAGCTGAGGGGCTGCACAGGGAGATATTTATAGTCTCTCTATAACTGCTCATCAGGCACATTTCCCTCATGGTATTCCACCTCTAAGTACCTGATTTCTCCCTGGGCCTTTGGAATTCACAAAGGAAGCTTTTCCTGATGATTTTCTGATCCCAAGTGACCAGAGTAGAAGAAGTTAAGTCAGTTGTTATTTCTCCTTGTCCTTGATCTTCCTGTTTTCCAGAGGTCTGACTTCCTCCACCTTATCCCAACTCTGAGTTAACATTTTCTCCAACATTTGAGATGAAGAAATCTCTCAGGACCAGGTTCCATTGACCCTTCTCCAGAGCATTGCTATCCCCTCTTCAATGAGTGGGGAGCTGTGTTCCTTTGACATGCAGTCCTGGGCACCACACTCTTTTCCTTCCTGACACATTTGTGAAAATAATAGGGATTTTGACTTCTTTCATAACGTAAGAGCTGTCATTTAGTGCCTCATTATAAAATATGTTAATTATGAGAGATAGACTCAGATATACTTATACCACATAACCTGAGCTTAGCATCTTTTTTTATTTTAAAGATTTCATTGATTTTAAAGAGAGGGGAAGGGAAGGAGAGAGGGAAAGAAATATCAACATGTAGTTTTCTACTGGGTTCGTGGCCTGCAACCCAGGCATGTGCCCTAGGCTGGGAATGGAACCAACAACTCTTTGGGTCCCGGGCTGGCACTTAATCGCCTGAGCTGCACCAGCCAGGGCTGAGGTAAGCATCTTATGAGCACAACCTGATCAAAAATTTTGAAAAGTCTATTGCATGAGATAGTATTGTTATGAACTCTATTCCCCTTTGCAGAATGGGACTTGAAGGGGTTTAGTGATCTACCTACTGATTGAGGGGTGGACAGAGTAAGAGATGGGCTTCTTTTTTAAAAATTTTATTTCATTTTTCATTGTAGGTTTTACAAACTTAAAAAATTTGTTTATTTTTTATCATATTTTTACGACCATTTGTTCCTCTCACACTCCTTTCCACCTCCACACCCCATCCCGTTACCCATACTTAAAAAAATTTTTTTGTTTGTGTGAGATTCTCTCTCTCTCAAATAAAGTTTGGGAAGGAGAGGGAGAGAGAGATTGAACATGGATTTGTTATTCCACTTATTAATGCACCCATTGGATTTTTTTGCATGTGTCCTGTTGGAGATGGAACCTGCAACCTTGGAGCATTGGGACCACACTGCAACCAATGCAGTGCAGGCCAGGGCCACAGAAGGGCCTTGATTGGAATTTGTCAGGTTGCTTCCAGTTTTCAAACCCTGGGCCAGTGATTCCCAGCCTGAGGTGATTTTGCACCTGGGGATGTTTGGCAGTGTCTGGAGGGAGGCTGCTAAACACCTGTAATTCCCATCACAAATGATTATCCTTCCTCCACTGTTAACATGAGAAGGCGAGAAAGCGTAGCCTAGACCAGCACTTCTCCAACTTCAGTGTGCATACAAATCACCCAGGATTCTAGTTCTTTTTGCAGATCTTGGTATGCCAGAGATTCTGAAAATCAAATAATCTCCCAGGTGGTGTTGATGCTGCAGTTCCTGGCCTGAAGACCACTCCTTGACCACCAAGGTGGTGGCTCAGTGTCAGAGTCTAGTGAAAGTTGTTTTAGGCCTTCTGAACCAACATTTCATTTGCATGTAATTTGAATGAATAGTGTATTCACTTACTCCAGAAGCTGTTATACATTCTGAGTTTGGCTCTTTGGGATAAAGACTCTGGAACAACATTGAATAAAAAGCTTCTGAAAAAGACTTTGTCCATTTTGAAAATAAAGACCTTAAAATGACACCAAATAAGGTATTAAAAAAACCCCTTATAGTAGATAAGTAGGATCCTCCAAAAGAGGTCTACATCCTAATCCCCAGAACCTTTAAACATGTTATTTTTATACCAAGGGTGGGGGGGGTCATTAAAGTAGTAGATGGGCTACTTTTGCTGATCAGCTGAATTTTAGATAAAAAGTTGGATGATAGTTGTGCAGTGGGACTAATGTAATCACCATGTTCCTATTACAGAACAGGCCCGGGGGGATATATGATATACTATTACTGAAAAGGACCCCCCCTTTTCTCCAGGGATTCCCCCTATAAGTTCACTATTCCCACCACCAGAGGAAAGACAACTCTCAATGCTAGAGATTTCTGAAAAGGAAAGGAATTATTTATTTAAAAGCTATACAGACTTAGGGTAGTGACTTAATGTCTTCATTAAAATATTAAAGTCCTTTAGATTACCCACAGACACACACAGTCCTTCCTTCTGCCTCTGTCCTAGTCTGGGGTACTGTATCTCAGGAAAAGAATAGAAGTCCATGATTCAGGCTCCCGGCACCATCAGCTGTGTCGCTGCCACAATCTGCAGTTAATCCAAACCCTTGTGGTACCTTCTTATGGCCCACTAGCAAGAGACCTTTCACCCCTTTTCTTCCAGGCAAAGTCTCTCCTGTTTCCTAAGCCACGTGGAAAAAGGGAGCACCCCAAAGCCACGGAGTCCCCACTCTGCCACAGCCGCATAGTTCTCCCTCTACTGGCACAGCCGTGGCAAAGGCAGAGCTCCAGTCCATGCTCTCTCTCTTCATGACTTACTATGTTGTCCTTGAAAGCTGTGTGAGTAATGACCCTCATGTTTTCCTAGTTTTCTGATGGATGTAGCAATTATTATCAGGACCTTAAGGGCCAGTCCAGCCACTACTGTAGTCTGAATAATGAGCAATAGGACCCAGCCAGTGCCCCAGGCCTTCCTAGCCTATAGCACCACTATCAATAGGCTGAGACTTAAACAAAACAGTGCTCAAGTCTGCATCCTCAGGAAGAGCAGTTAAGGTAGAGATGTAGAAAGAAAGGGGCACACAAAAGTGGGAACAGTGGTTTTAGATTTCCTGGAATGAAGGTTTGTAAATGATGTATGTAGCCAAGTGCAGTTTTGTCCACCTGAGTAATACCACTTGTGATTATTTGGTCTATACAATAAGAACAAGTTACATGCAGTGATGTGCATCATTGGAGAAGTTATTCTTAAATCCCCATTGCCTGTGAAATAAACAGATTTTAGGTGTTTGTGATTAAGGTCGGAAAACTGTAAGGATAGAAACAAAGCAGAGGGAGAAGCTGTCTGTATGACAGAGCAGAAAGCCCAATTTAAGTGGTCACTTAAACTGTGTGGAGAAGTTGAAACAAACAAATGGGAATCCCAGCAAATAAATAAAAGGAGCAAGTATTAAAACCAGAACCTGATCGAAGAGTCACAACATCTGGCTCTGAGGCTTTGAGCCCTGCAATCATAGGCATTTCTTTAGCCCAAGGATAATTGGTCCCTTTATAGCTGCCATCCCAGTTAGTCTTTTCAGAGCCCCTTTTATGTCTCTGTTCCTGAGACTGTAGATGAAGGGGTTCAGCATGGGTGTGACCACAGTGTACATCACTGAGGCTGTTGCACTTGACTGTGAGCTGTGGGTACCAGCAGAGCTGAGATACACGCCTAGGCTTGTACCATAAAATAAGGAGACAACTGAGAGGTGAGATGCACAGGTGGAAAAGGCTTTATACTTCCCCTGAGCTGATGGGATTGCTCGTATGGAGGACACTATCTTAGAGTAAGAGTAAAGGATCCCAACAAAGGGGCCACCACCCAGCACCCCAACTCCAAAATACATCACGATGTTTTCAAGAAAGTTGTCAGAACAGGCAAGTTGGACCATCTGATTGAATTCACAGAAAAAGTGAGGAATTTCCAAGTCTGCACAGAAGGATAGTTGTAATACCATTATGCTTTGCAACAAGGAATATAGGGAACTCATAATCCAGGACACCAGGACAAGCAGTCCACAGAGCCGGGGATTTATGATGACCGTGTAGTGCAGGGGGTGACAGATGGCTACATACCTGTCATAGGCCATTACAGTAAGGATGAAATCATCCAACCCTGCAAAGAGTAGGAAAAAATATATCTGAGTTATGCAGCCTGCATAGGTGATGGCTTTGTTCAGTGTCTGGATGTTCAGCAGCATCTTTGGGATGATGGTGGAGGTGATACAGATGTCAACCAAGGACAGGTTGGAGAGGAAGAAGTACATGGGGGTGTGGAGGTGGGAGTCTGAGCTGATGGCCAGGATGATGAGCAGGTTTCCCAACACATTGATCAGGTACATGGAGAGGAAGAGCCCAAAGAGGACAGGCTGCAGTTCTGGTTCTTCTGATAGTCCCAGGAGGAGAAACTCTGAAATTTGTGTAACATTGCCTGGTTTCATGCAGTGGAGATGACTACTAAAAAAGAGGAAAATAATATGACTAATTCACAAAGTGTTGGAATGCTACAATTTATATTGTCACTCAAAAATTAATTTTAACATATTGTCTATAGGTATGACCCCCTTTTGGGAAATCCCTCATGATACCTGTGATATGAAAGTTTTATATTGATCATCTTTCACCGTAAGGCATCACATATTCTACAGGGTTTTTAAAAACTGATTTTATTTATTTATTTATTTTTAGAGAGAGGGGAAGGGAGGGAGAAAGAGAGGGAGAGAAGTATCAGTGTGTGGTTGCCTCTCACATAGCTCCCACTGGGGACCTGGCCTGCAACCCAGGCACATGCCCTGACTGGGAATTGAACTGGTGACCCTTTGGTTCACAGCCTACAGTCAGTCCACTGAGCTACACTAGCCAGGGCGTATTCTACAGTTTTAATGAGAACTTTTTCATGTGCGAAGTGGGACCCACTAAGCCCATAGGTATATTTATAAAATATTGTGCATTTATTTTTACATATTTAAATTTCAGTCACCTTCAAAGTGCTCTCCATTAGGTGCAATACACCTATCAAGATGTTTTCCCATTGTTCAAAAAAGTGTTTGAGCTCATGCATTTTTAAGCCTTTCAGTGCTTCTGCTATTTTTTGTTTCACTTCTTTCAGATTGCCAAAACGTTTCCCCTGGAGGGTTTTTTTCATCTGGGAAACAAAAAAAAAAAAGTTGTGTGGGGTGAAATTGGGTGAATAGGGAGTGTGGGGTAAGGCGGTCATGCTGTGTTTGGTCAAAAACTGCTGAACACTCAGTGCAGTGAGGGCAGGTGCACTCGTCAAATGCATTGGAAGAGTGTTCAAAAATGATTCACAGAAGCCAAATACAGACTCTCACAACACCAGCAGATTCACTGATACAGATGGGTTCCTAGAACACTTACTTATCCAGGAAAGCCTGCAGTACAAGGTGTCCACTCTAAAAAAGATAATTCCACATTTTTGGGTCCCCCCTCATATTTTAGGAATGTAAATTGAGCACCAACCATGTTTTCTGCACTGTCCAGACTGAGTATTGCGTGCTGAAGAACAACATTTGCTACAAGGCAATGATGAAGAAAGAACACAGAAGCAAATAATAAAAATATATAGCATTTCAGTCAGTGACAGGTGGTATGATAAAAGGAAGGCAGGTATAAAGAAATGAACTGGGTATTTAATTTTTTGCAGGTATTTATGCAAGACCCCAAACAAAATGGCATTAGAGTGGAGAGCTCCTGTAAGAGAGCAAGGAGATTTAAGGTTACGTGGGAACATGTGTACCCAGCAGAGGGATTGGTCTGTGCATTTGTTTTAATGTTCAGCCTGAGGAAGGGAGTTGGTGTTGGCAGTAAATAAGCATGAGAAAGAGGAGGAGAGAAGGTGTCAGACACATTGGAGTGATGTGGCCTTGCTGTTTCTGCTGCTGCTAAAACCTCACACACAGGGACTTCCTTGTCCACACTCCTCTTGCCCTTGATTAATCTTGTTGCAAATGTGTCCCATGAAGGAGACAGATCCCCTCCTCAGTGCCTCCTCTTGATTGAGTTCTCACTCCTTTTTGTAAGAGTTACTTTGCCATACATGCTCCTTCATCCCCCTGTTTTGAAGACTGTCACATGCACAAGTCACACACATGCACACACACACACTATGACCATTGTTATATTATTTGCATGTCTTTCTCAGCCCTGGCCATACTGACTCAGCTATGAGTGGCTACAACCTAAGTTAGCCAGATCGTTGCCTGGTACACTGTAGAAATGGTTCCCAGCCATTTGGTTCTGTCCTTATCCCTCCCATGTACAAAAAACTTTGGGGTCTATATAGGGATGGCCATGTTCTGCTGTGTATTTAAACCACCATTAAAGAAATCTGACCCTTTTCCCACTCTACCCCCTCATCAGAGCCTCCCCTCAACTCTTGACCCAATTGTCATTCCTACACCTATGCCCTATTTATTCGGTCACCCTTGATTTTCTATGGCCCAACAGTAGATGAGGCAGGCCTTTTGGGGCATTTTTTGTTATTCTTGGGCTTTGGGATTTGATCTCTTTTTTGACACATTCAGTGAGCACACTCCTGTTCTGGTTTCATTCCTTGCACAACATACAAAGACACCAGGTCCCCAGACCATTCACTATACAATCCTTCTCAGGCCAGGTAATCTGTCCCCTTTGTTCGCATGCTGTACCTCCAAGGGCCTTGTGTTATACACATGCTTACTCCTCATTTAATACAAGATCAAATGAGAAGAAACCTCATCTGCTTTGTCCACTTCAGTGTTTTCACAAAGGTGTGCATTTATATAGAAATCAATTCTTAGAAAATGGAATTTTAAATGGGATATAAAAATAATACAGGGAAAATATACCCAGATTAAAGATAGTGAATTCAGAGGATGGTAGCAGAGTAGGTGGAAACTATCCTCACCTCCTCCCAGGAACAAACTGGAATTACAACTAAAAGAGAGCAGTATGACTGAATACCCAATTGAAGGCTAACTTAACAGGAGTCTTATACTAAGGATTCATAGAGGAAGCCACATTGAGACAGGTAATAGGGCAAAGATACAAAAAGGGCTGTCCCCATTCCCACAGGCTATGGCTGAGATTCCAGAGGGATATCTCAGCTACAAAGGTTCCCCCTGAGAAGGATGAGGTGCCAACCCAAAGTTGAGCTCCCCAGCCCAGAGCACCAGAGCTAGGAAGAGATGCCCACCTAAGGCCTGGCTATGAAAACCTGTGGGGATTCTGTCTGCCAGGGAGAGATGGGAGTCTGCTAGAGACCCAGGTGCCCTCTTTAAAGTGTCAACACACGAAATCTCATTTGCTGCCAGTCACCTGGGGCTCTGGCAAAGGAGGGGAGGAGAGGACTAAAGTCCCGTGAAGAGACAGGTTTGGGGCTTTATCTGGTGGACAGAGCTGAGGGGATGGCACCTGGAGCCCCTGGCCTGAGTCACTCTCCTGCACTGCAGATGCCATCTTTCTCAGGTGGAGCAGGCACTTCCATGGTCTCAGCCTGGGTGAGGGCAATAGCCCCACCCTCTCAACTCCCTGTTGCCCCACTCTGTGGAACTTGCACCTGCTGAGGAGACAGCTGTCTGAGTCAGGCTGTAGAGGTATGGACAGACTTGGGGGTGTCAGTGTGGCCTTGGGATGGGCCCAGTCTCCTCACTTTCCTGAGAACCTCACTATCCACACTTTCTGTGCTTCCCATGGCTCCACACTGTCAAGGTAAAAAACAGGGGCCATTTTTCCTTCACATGCCTGACTGGTGCAGAGCCCTCCCTTCACACGGCCACTCATGGTCTGTTTGGGTCTGATTAACGCTGCTGGCCTCACTTTGATGACTCCCTGAGACCCCACCCCACTACAAAAGTGTGTGTGAATGCCCAGTGGATGGCAGCTAGACTTGTTACACCCTGGACATTTGCTGAGTGGTGACAGACCCAGCACTGGCACCGAGTTTTAACCTGTATTAATCTGGTGAACACCACTTGCCTCTTTCTTGTGAGTCACTGAGAACTGACCTGTGTAACTCGAACACCACCAGAAGCTCTTTCAGTGACTGAGCCTAATAGGCAGTTGGCAGGCAGAGGCAGATCTCGGGATGCCTTAGGACTTTAGCTCACTGCCCTGGACCTGGTGGTAGTAAAAACCAGTCTTGGTGCACACTCAGGCTCAGCAGAAGCACTCAGAAATTGGGGATTACTTTGTAGCTCCAAATACATTGCCCTAGGCAAGTCATGGGCAGCAGCTGACACCGATTCACATCAGAGTCCCTCCAAGAGGCCCCAAACCAAGACACCCAGTGGCCAGCTTCAAACAACATCAGTGCAAGATTCAGTTAGCTTCACAAGCAGCATATCCAAAGGGATACCTCGGCAGTCACCAGACCCTGCTGAGGCAAATTCTGCTTGATGTGGTCAGCACCTGAACAGCCTGTGGTCGGGGTTGATCCTCACAGTCAGCCAGCTTGTTGGTCAAACTCATGGATGAATGGGCCAATATCAATCAATCAATTACTACAGGAGGGCACACATAACTCATAGAAAGGACGTTGCTGGTGCCCCAGCTCTGGCGATCAAGGAGATGGCATCACGGGGTTCCACATGACACCTGCTACAAAAGACCATCCTGCCAAGACTGGAGGTCATAGGAGGTCTACCTAATATGTAGAAACAAATACAGAGAGGGAGCCAAAATGGAGAGAAAAAGAAATAGGCCCAAATGAAAAAACAGGAAAAATCTCCAGAAAAAAAAAACTAAATGA